GAGCTCAGAAGAGCACGTCTTCATGGCAAACTCTGCCCCACGCTATGTTTCATCAGCTGCGATCACAACTATTAAGAAGTGCCTTTACTTTCACCTCTCCTTCTGTTATTGTTTGGGGTTTTTCAGCTATGGAAAGATCTTCTGCAATGCTTTGAAATCTGATTAGAAATTAGGAAGGGTTTGGGGTTTTGTTATTGTAGGGGGGTAAAACAACAAGGCTGGCTTCCCACATCCTCGACACATTCCACATCCATGCAGTAACGCCTTTTAACCAAAAACAGCAGGTCACGATATGCCAGTACAGTTCCCTCCTCTGAAACACAAGGTTGTTACTTTATATACCTATTGCTTCATGCATTGCCCACACATGCACGGCCTTATCAAAGGCCAAGCCAGCCACACACCCAGTTTCTATAGCCCCTGCCTTCTCCGTAACCAAGGAGATAAAATACACAAGACAGAAACAATGACATCATGCTGCAAGGACAAGGATGACAGGACGAGGACAGGACAGGCACTCTCAAGAAGCCTTGGAAAGACAGAAGTGACTGTCTGTCCCTCTCATCCCACAAACACCCTCCAGGACTGCATGTCTGGAGGTTATTTCTCATTTAAGAGAACCCAAAACATCCTCACATTTGAAAGCCTGTATCTTCTGTGGTTAAGAAGAACTGATCTATCTGTCTCAAACCAAGAGTTTTCATTGACGTTCTTGAGGGGTGACATTAATACTTGTGCCTGACTGCAAATGGGTATGTGGCCTTCAGGGAGCTGGACAAGCTTTTCTGGAGACAGTCCTGGTGTTGACTGCCCTCAAAGCTGGTCTCTCAGCTTGTTCCCTATATGAGCTCAGTCTCCTCAAACAGAGACCTAGGCCCCACTGACCCCAGTGTCCTACAAACAGAGGGGAGAGAAAAAAAAAAGACAAACCTTCTCTCATAGAGCCCAGGTCTGACAAGACATGGCACAGTCTGAGGGATAAAGAGTTTTATTGTTCATTTTACCAAGCGGCAATACAGCCACACACACCAGCACATGGGTCCAGAGCTTATTGGCTGGCCCAGGGTCACCAGAGAGCATGCAGAGTCTGAAAGTTATGCAGGTCTCTGGTCAGTGTCATCAGCATTAAAATTACCGTAGTCACCAAGTAACTCGTTCTCTCTTATTAAGCAGAAGGGAGAGGCAGACGTGTTATTTTAATCTTTCCCACTGCGGTGAGGAAAAGCTCTTGATGGGAAAAATGACACTAAGCCATTGCCCTTAGGATGTGGGTGAGAAGTGCAAGTGAAATAATTGAGTAAATACAGTAAGACAACTGTCATTTCCTTCCCCTGACGTTGCCATGGTCACACCCAAAACAAAGCTAGCTCAGCCATTGAGCCATCACCACTGACAAGCTGCTGCACCTTTTGATGAAATGTGATTTTATCGTCATTCTTGCCTCAGTTTAAATTAATTTAGAAGGATAAATATAATGGTAATGAAATAATAAGATTGTGGCTCTTTCATGGGCAAAAGTCAGCTTAGACAGTGACGTCGGTCTTGGGATTCAAGACTTCAGGGAATGCATGGGAGGTTGTGGAATGCCTTTTTATTTTCCAAATATCTTGAACTTGCATTCCAAGTAAGGGAAAATACTTCCACAGGACAATGCAGCATTTCACCAAGTATCAGCCTCCAAAAGGATTTCAGAAGTAAACAAACAGTCTATTTCAAATGGGGTAAAAAATGTGTAAGCAGTGATCTTAAAATATGCAGCCACTCATAGAGTTCTTGAGACAAACTGAAAATTAATTTATCTTGCAAGATCTTTTGCAAAGATCTAGTTATTTAACCACACCAATAAAATAGGAAGAAGAAAAGAAGGGGGACAAGTGTTGTGAGAAATTTCAGTTAAGATATTGAAGGTAGCAGAGGCAACATCAAACTGCCTAATTTTAAGAAAGGTAGAAACTGATTTGAATAATTGCAGTCCAATTTCTACAGCAAAGGTTTTAAAGCTTTTTTTTTTTTGAGCTTGATGTAAGTCTATTCACATGTATGATTATATTTCTGCATTCAAAAAGCTCTGCACAAAACCAGTGAGAAACATCTTCAGAGGACCCTGGATCAGGACTTAAATGAACCACTTGGACTCAGTATGTCCTGTTTTCTTTGGTAAGTGAATTAATAAGTGTTCTGCACGAGACTGCTGCCAAGGAAAGCAAATATATTGTTTTCACTGGCAAGCAAGTTAAAAAAACCTGAACAGCTCAACGCTGCCTTCGAAGATTGGACTCTACTCATGACTTCTACCAATCCTGTTGGAAAAATGAGATCAGCATCTTTGTGGTAAAATTCATAGTGGTTTGCAATACTAATATATGTATGCACAGCATCTTCTGCACTCTGCTGCTGATGATTTGCAGCAGGCCTGGCCAAAACCTCTGGTGATGCTGCAAAGACACAGCCCCAGAGTGACTCAGCCAATGCTTGCCACAGCTCTGGCAGGAGTCGGCATGCTCTGCTGACATCACACTCCAAGCACACCGACCTCACCACAAGCCTCACTTGCTGCAGTCAGCTACTGAAAAAGGAAACAGGTGTATATTAAAAAAAAAAGAACAAAAAAACCAAACCAAACAAAAACCCCTTAAAACTTGATGGTGTTCATGATACTTTTCCTTGGCACAGTGGACTAGGATGTTCAGGCACTGTTAAGCAGGAAGGGTAAATGGGACCTTGTGGTTTGGAAACACAAGAAATACATCTTCCCTCACACTGCTAAATTCCTCTGCCTGAATATGCAGCAGGCAAAGCCCTTTAAAAGAAAGCCCCATGCTCTGAAAAACAGCACATAGGCCACTCCAAATGACTTAATTGGCTTCATTTTAAAGAAGGGAAGAAGGAAGGCAAGACTTCTGCAAGAGCATGAATGTTCCTTTTACACCAGGAAATAAAATTCTTCTAGTATCAGCCATCACAAGGATCAAAGCCTAATTTTCAGGCAACAGTTGGTTCCCAGTGCAAGATTAAGACAAGGGTCACTGCTCAGAGATAAGGTTTGTAACAGGAATCTTTCCGCAGTCAGTTTCTCACCCAGATCTTCTGCTGAGGTCAGTCACAGATTGGTATCAATAAATTCAGTTGTGCCACACTTACGAACTAACAGCATCGGGGTATCAATATAATGGCCGACGTCAGAACCAGGATTAGGAATAAGGTTAGGGTTTAGGAAGGGATGTGCTCCACCACCAGGATTATTGCCGAGTCCTGCACAGTCTGACCTTCGTGATGCCCTTTACTTGCATTTTAGAAAGCAGGGCATGACTTGTAAGTTAAAGGCTAGAATTAAGGTTAGTCCCTCTCATCCATGTTTCTTCCTGAGTTGCAGTAGGCTCCCTGAAACAGTCCTGGGCTGACTCACATACAAACACTCCACCCAGAGAGCAGCTGACTAAAGGAGAGCCATTGATTAGGGTTAAGACTGCCATAGCAAATAAGTTTAAGTAAGAGGTGGCATCAGTTAATTAAAAGAGCCTGTGTTTAGTACTTGACCAGCAGTGGATGTCTATCCAGTGACCCAGGCTGGACTGGAGGAGAAAGTGTGGTGGTGGTGCAGCTAGTGACAGGGGGCTGCAGCAGCAGGTTTCTTGCTGTAGTTTAAGCTTAGTGAGCTATGTTAAACTCCTGCCTGGCAGGTGTAGTGCCCTATGTTTAATTCTGGGGCATTTAGTTAAACTCTGGTTAATGGCTGGGTTAGGGACTTGGTCTCCAGGATTGGGTCTCCCGCTGAATTAAACAATAGCCCTCTGCAGCCTTGCAGCAAAGCCTCAGTGCAGACTTTGCCCCACTCCTAGCCCCTAAGTCTCAAGGTTCACAGCAGAAAATCTCCAGAGCTTGGGCAGCAGAAGACACAGACCAGATCTCAGCTCAGTGTCACAGGCAGGTGTCACTGCAGAGCCCCAGCCCAACCCAAGACCACAAGGCTCAGCCTCACACTGTTCCTTGGCTGAGTTATGAATACCTGAAAAATGCCACACCACACTCTTGAGCCAAGAAACACACGGCAGCTTGGCATTAGAGGGAGCATGGACAGATCCCAGGCCAAGGTCTGGGCACAGTGTTGCTGCACATGTGCTACTTTAGGTTCAGGTCCTTTCCAACCCAGACAGACATATTAGTACTTAATTGGAGAGTCAAGGTAGTTTTACCTCTACTTATTTTGCTACAAAGACTCACACGGGATGTGTGCTAGGGCCAGAATCCACATCACGGCCCTGGTGAAAATCCAGAGAAATGCTGTTGATTTTAGTGCAGTTATTGTAGATCTATGCAGTGAAATCCTCTAAACCTAGCCCAGGCAATACCCTTGCACAGGTCACTGTTAAACTACGTTTACTTGACAGAGGCAGCAGACCAGTGAAGCAAGGCTACCAAAAGGTTACAAAACCAACTTCCTAGACAGAGTGCAAGATCTGCCCCACAGATAAAAATATAAAAGGCCGGTGTTTCTCTTCCACTTTATTCACTGCTAGACTGCTAGTAAGAACCCACTAGTAAGACGAAAAAACAAAACAACAAAAAAACCCCAACAGAAAACACTAAGAGTGAATAATTTTCCTCCTTTCTCAAGACCTTTCTTATCTATGAAAATCAACAGGCCTAGCAACAGTAGCAATGATTTATTGAGCCACACCTTTACAGTGCCTTCTGTGCCCTATGGTAGGTGGGAGCACGCAGATGGCAGGAGACAATGCCTCTGATCCAAGCAGCTTACCCTTGGCAAGGTATCCGACTACCTCTCCACAGCAGCAGGCTTCTGACCACAATGGAGGGAGTCCATCTCTGAAGGTTTCCAAGGGTCATGTAATTTCTAGGAGCTATGGGGCACAGCACTATCCCCAATGTGACCAACGGAGTGACACATGCCCAGCTCCTTGGAGGATCAGGCCAGAAACTGCTCCGAAGTCAGACAGGAGTAAACAGGCCCAAGAGCATGCAGATACTCCATTACTTACCTGCGGCTGAGAGGCCAGATTCATCTTATAAGGATGCGTCTTTCCCTCCTCATTTACAAGTGGTGACCAGACTTTTGACTCCGTTCTGCAACACACAGATTTTTAATAGTTAATCTGTTTTCATCACTGAGCATCATTACTGTTATTAAAAGACTTGAAGTTAATCAATTTCCCAAACATTTCCCCAGTCTTTTGTATATAGCACTATCCACATCAGGAGGAATCTGGACAGCCTCATTTTAGGCACGTAACTTGGATGAATTAGTTATGTTGTATGAGGTCCTTGGAGAAAGACAGGATCTCAGCCTTGACTATCCTGGCTTATCCTTTGGGGCTCCACTGGCAACACATCCAGCACGGGCTCCAACCCAGGCAGTAGAGTTGGGAGTCACCCAACAGCAGAAGCTGGAGATATCCCTTAGATGCAGATCCTTTAATTAAGTGGGACAATTCATATTACTGTGTGTTTCAGTTTTTATAGGTAGCTGCAAAGAGGAATTATTCTTGCCTGTATTGACTATACAGAGAACATTTCATTCTTGAAGTTGGGCTGCCTTGGATAAGCTAAAAATATTTTTTGGTTTGGGCCTGAGGAATTTTATTCTTATTTATACAGTAGTACCTATGCTGCACAAACAGAGGCTTTTGGGAATTATAAAAAAGAAAATGGGTCCAAGTCCGCAATGGGACTAAGCACTGAGGTGACATAATGTGTCAGAGAGACTCTACATAAACTTTACTGGTCTGTGGTCCCTATTACTCACAGCAGCCTGAAACACAAGTCAAGAGCTGTGACCAAAACCAACTGCTTTTACCATCATCATTCTGGAGTTTTGCTATGTCCCAAAGAACAACAGACAAAGTGGTGAGGAAGAAGCAGAGTGTTTAGATTTGCTTCAGATACTTTGTGGGAAACATATGCTACCTACTTTTCTCAGAAGTACAGACAGCAGTTAGCATCTCAGATGGACTAAACAGTGCCATTTTTCCCAAACTTTTTAATAGTAGGGAACGAGTAGCTGCAGTATTGCTGAATGAAAACCACTGTTCAATGCTAAACATTGCATCATGCGGCAACCAGATGGCTGATAAACTCTTAGGATGAGTTTTGAAAACCATGTCCTGTTTTGACAGGAGCCCTTTATAGAATCTGCAACTGCACATAGATGTACTTCCCAGGTATTTGTGGGTCCAGGGTCAGTTACGATTAAAGTACTTAGTTAGTAAAACAGGAATGCTTCCACTGAGAATTCACTGGATAACTGGAAAGAGACTTTAAACAGAAAAGGCTTATAAAACTGACAAGGATGGAGAAACAGGGTATAGAGCTACCCACGATAAATTCAATCTGGTCTACACTATTCCTCTAAAAGCCCTCCAATGTCAGGACATTTTTTTAAACAGCCCAAACTTAACTGTGATGTACGTGCATAACCCAGACACTTGCTGCGTAAATAGTATTTTAATACTGACATCCAAAAGGTAGCTCAGTGGGAGGAGGCAGGAGGCAGCATTCTCACTCAAGGAAGAGGAGAAGTTTTATTGACCTGCTATTGCATCTACTGCACTCTAGACTTTACACGGAAGAAACCTGAATGAAATCTGCTGTGCTGTACCTCCTTTCACAGGCAAGTACAAAGACACAGGTCACACCAGATATCATCCTTTACAAGCATTCAGGCACAGCAAACCTTTGACTCCAGACTATTGCACCCTGCAGGCTCAGCTGCAGTGCTGATACCCGACAACCTACATCCCCCAAATCCTGGCATCTGGCAAGCTGGGGCACACACAGACTAACAAATATGAATGTAACAGCTGCATGGGATCAGATCCATGCCCATCTGATCATTATCTTGTCTCAATAGATGCCGTTACTGGATGCAAACATACCCCAGGTGAGTATAAAACAGCCATTCCCTCCTTGCTTCTGGCAACAAGTGCTTTAAGGTACCTGAGGAACCAGAGATTTTAACCAGATTATGGCTATCAAGCCTGACAAAGTCACAGCCATCTATAGGATGGCTGTATTCTGCACTTGAAGACTGTGTTTGCAGAGGGGAGCAGCCCACTGACCAACGCAAAGCATTATTCCTTGAAATTGTTTGGAGATCATGTGCAACCAAGTTTCACCTCCTCTGGAACAAGAGGGGCCACAGCAAAGTATATGGGAATCAAATAGTCTGCAAGTCAGGCTGTAAGCAAGTGGACATTGGCTGGAGATGAAAGAGCAGATCAGAGAGCATTAAACACTTCAGCTGATTTCTAGCATGAGGCACCCCTGTGCCAGTTCTCACTAGCAGTGATCTAAGTACTTTTGAGGTAGCATTTTCTTTTGCAGCAGCTTAATATTATCAGATTCCAGAAGCACCAAAAGGCCTTATTCAGGCTGAAAATTTAAGCTTAGAGCAGACCAATATACAAATACAGAACAGAAACCTCTCCTCAGGAACCAGGGCACTTGCTTTCCTCCCACTGCCCTTCACTCAATGCATTTGAGGTGACAGCACCTTGGTCTCCAGCATAGGGGAGGCAGCTATGGCCAACTACGGCAGCCAATGGGTTTTCTCCTCCCTTATTTATTAGCAAGGCAAAAAGCACAAGTTTGTTTCCCAGCCTGCTGCCATTCTGATCTGTCACTGGATATAAATGGAAGCAGCAAGGTCACTCCAGGCTTCACTTTCAATCCAGTTTAAAAGTTATCCAAACAGAAAGGTTAAATAGCCCGTGTGGTTGTTCCTCTAAGGCTGGGAGGATAAAGCTTCCCTTTGTCTTCACAACAGCTGCAGCAGAGACCTTCAGCCACTCTCAACAGCCCATTTATGGCCCCAGCAAAGCAGCAAAGATGAGACAGCTTTGCTCTCACTGGCTTTGCCTATTGGGGCTTTCAAGGTGAGTGCCCCATCCCACCACACTGGAGCCCACAGCCTGCAGGTCATCGGTGGGACTGCTGTGGTCCCAGCTTTCAGCAAGGGCTTCCTGGCTCTGCTCCTGGTGTCACTGCCTGCACTTTTACTCAAGTGTGGCAGGAGAAAGAAAAACAGCACCTAAAAGTTCACCTTATGTCCCACTGCTGGCCCAGGACTTATTTTCTGAAGGGCTGGGAAGCGTGGACACAAGGCACAGATGATAAGGTGGATTGGTTAGACTCATCATGTTTGTATCTTATCTATATGTGTTCACATCTTATTTCTGTGAAGAAGGGAACAGGCGTCAGAGCAGACAGTTCAAACCCAGCCTCAGTGCAGTGCCCTGAGTTCACAGCAGGCTATTACTGGTAGGACTGTAGTGGCTTTCTGGAAGATTTTCTTCAGATCTGGAGAGGAGGACCCCCCAGCCACAAAACCGACTCCACACTCCCCCTGATGAGGCAGTATCCCTGCCACAGAGCATGGCCACTCTAGCAGGGCTGCCTCCCCACCAGTGGTGGGGCTGGATGTCCAACAACCTGCTGAGGAATCACACCCTGTCTTCAGGGAAAGCCAGCAGGCTTCAGCATGCCCATAGGATCTCACAGACTCCTGCTTAAATTGATGAATAGTTATTTTAGAACATGGTTTCTAATGCATATTCTTTCAAAAGAGATTCCAGATAAGCGCAATGCTCAAATAGTGCAGAAAGAGAAGACAAACCCATGATACCCAAACAAGCCTGGGAACAAGTGCCAGTCAAATTAATTGCATGCACGTGGATAGACAAGCTTCGTCATGTTTGCAGTTCACATTTCCATGCTGTTTCCTTACTACAGGAGAGAATGCAACGAAGACAGGGCCAGGGAACGAGCCATGCATATGCCGTTTCATCCAGGCAGAAACCAAGAAATTTCTCTGATACTAGTTTGGATGGGGAGGAACTGGTAAGAAGGGGAGGAAGGAAACTGCATGCGAGTCAAGGCAAGAATCTGGAGAGTTATTTACAAAATACAACACTTTAAGAAGCTTGGCTTGAACATGGTATAATATAAACATTGCAGGAGCCTAGATTTTGCTATCAATGCTTTGTGTGCAGAGCTGGGCCATAGCTTCAAGGGAAAATTCAGAGCTGGAAAATGAGGCTCTAATTCTGTGTGCCAGGAACTGCATAAGTAACTTGGGTAAAGGTGAGCGGCACACTTACACTCCCATTTCAATCACCAGGATGGAAACAACTAAGATACCAAAGTAGCAACTAAACCCATAAAGAGAGAGAAGGTCCTTGTGCAACACAGTTTGCTAGCTGAAAAATGAGGAAAGATCTAAAGAATTCCTCTTTCAACCCTCCCCAAGAGTTTTAGACAGGCATTTTAATAATGTTTAGAGACTAACTACAAGAGCTTTCAGGCCACCAGGAAGGTGCCTTTTAATCAGCCTTTTAGTTACAACAGCTGCAAAGTACATGCCTTTGGATTTAAACACAAGCAGTCACTTTTAGCAACCATCCATTAGTGGACATATTCACTTCGGCAAGCAAAACTGTACTTCGGCTGCATGCAGCCTACTGCCAATTCAAACAGCAACGCTAGGCACAACTTGCTAGAGACAAAAGGCCCCAAATTAATTTTTTCACACATGGCCCTCTGCTCCAGGCATTTCAGGTGTCTCTTCATGCAACCATAGAATACAAAAGGGCAACTCCAGCTGTGCAGAAGAAGCAACAAAAGTCTATCGCAAGCGGTTTCATTACAGAGTTACGAAGGACTCAATGCCTGACTGCTCAGACTTACACTGTTCTTCCACCAGCCAGCTACATAGAGTTAACTACTTTTGCCTCACCGAAGAAGCTGTAGAAACACAACAAATGCCAAGCTTGACTTGTCAAAATGACTTTGAACGTGCCAATCATTAGTAAAAGCTGTGGGCAAGCACCCAGGAGTGCTGGGAGCACCACACCAGCCATGGAGAGGTTGTGAGCTGCCACAGAGGGTCAGGCAATCTGCATGCCCTTATATAGCTGCATGCAGAGCATCAGGCTTTTCCCAGGGCCAAAAGAATTATTAGTAAGATGACGGAGCTGGAAAACGCTTCTTGGCAGGGAAGCGAGAAGCAAACCTAAATGAGTCAATGGATTCTACCGACTTCCTAGAACACAAATTCGAGCCTATTGTGG